TACCTTGCTGCATATGAAAAAATAAGAGCACAAAGTGCGTGTGCCTGTCAAGTGCCTTTCATCTCACACATTGCTGATATCTGTTTGGTACATTAATTCACTCTCGATCACTGAACACAGGAATTTTTTGGTCTGGGAACAGAGAGAGACAAATGCCGATCTCAACAGCTGGGTTTTCAATGGACCAGACAAGCATAAATAGACCAGTACTGAGAGAATGTATTTAAATTAAACAGCCGTTGGGTGTTTGGATAGAGCTGTGCACCCATACATGTACATGCAGCAATGTTTTCACACTTGATCCCAAGGAGTACATGTGTAGCGGTTCATTATTGTTACCTGTTACTCAACATCACCATGCTCTCGGATCTACACCTTTATGGGAGTATTAAAGCAAACCTCCCAGACATGACAGCATATCGTGTATGAGACATTCTTTCAGATTTGTTTTCCTCCAAAAATGGAGACCTTCTGTTTTCAGACATCTGATGACAATCTGATAAATTAGAATGGTTCTGTTCTGACTAAATCTGTATAATGGGCAGGTGAACAAGAAGCTAAAAAGAACACCACTGGAACACAATCATTTTGGAATTCAGCATTCGATAAGTACACCGAGCCCCGCCCACTCTGCACTTGGACAGCAAGCATGACCGTGATTGATCAGAACTACATGAATCAGTCACAAGCCATGGTGATGCTTTAAACTGAGGTGTTTTCCTTCTCTCACCTTCATAACATACAGTCTGGACATTGGTTGTCCGGCATGCTTCATTAAATCTAAGTAGGTCATGTGTGTTGGGAAGGCTGAGAACACTAGAACAATGGCATTGTTCTTACGATCAACAATGGGAGTTGGATTCATTGTCCTGCAACAAACACACAAACAGAACAATATACACTTCTGTCTGTTTATGAAATACTGAAATAATGTAACAGTTTTCAATTAACACTGCCCTCTCATGGAGCATAATTAATTTCCTTAAGATAGCAGTCTGTTATATTACAGGTCCCTAACAGATGTCTGAGGGGGAAATCAAGTGCAAAATGCTTAGTTTTACTTAAATCCAGTAAAAGTGGTATTTCTGAGTATGCTGCATCTGTATGACCAATTTTCTTTTGAATAAGAAAAATTTGGGAAGGAGAGGAGTTTCAGAAAACAAAGTACACAGGCAGTACAAAGGCATTGGAAATTTGTTCAGACTTTTTGACAAAAAAGCTATCGCTGAAGAGGATCTGCTTTACACTAAACACCGGCAGGATCCTTGAAAACAGCCATTGCTTTTGGCTCAGTCCACCATGACCAACAAGACCCCACAATGGTTTTAGACCATGTTTAAAAATTGTTTTGAACTCCTTATTTAAAAACAATGTATATTTGTTAAATGTAAAGGTTTCCCAGTTTTTTTGTTCTGGTAAGCACATGTACATACACACATATGGCATCGCCGCTAAACTTCACTGTTTGGTTTGATCAAATTTGTTGATCACCTGTGTTCAGGTATGCCCGCTATAACTCGTATTCTCTCCCAGGTAACCTCACGCCCCTTCAAGTTGCCCCTCCTCAGGCCGATCATCATGTTGCCCCAGTCTTGAACGGAGTCAAACCTGGCCTCACAGAAAGCCAAGAAGGTGTCCTTAAAGAACACTAATGCCGGCACCCTATGGAGAAAGGAAAGAAACAATGCTGCAAGGCATGCATACAAAAAAATTGATTTCCTTTAAATGCCAAAGATTTTCAAATAAGATCATGCCTTTTGCTTACATATCCATTTATCAGTTAACTTAAAAGCACATGAAAAGTACACGTGTTAGAAGCTGCCTCTGAGGTATTTTGTTTTCTAAAGAGTGCATTACTAAAAATTCAAAAGATTCCAAGCTGTTTCTGACAAATGGATCGGATGTGCATGATAACTTATTTTTAATTAAATGTGCAGAAAGCCAAAATATCTTTGCATGTACTTGTAAGTAACATGACATGCACCTGAACAGGTGAACGTGATTCAAAGTTTTGCACTGAACTGTCAGTGGCACAGAGTCCACATTAACAGCTTGTGAAGTCAAGAGCCACAACTCTATGCAGCATACATGTACATATACATGTAGCTATCTGTAACAGTCCCAAATCCTCCAATTTCAATGATTTTACACCCTACGGGATTAGGGTTGTAATCAACATGTCTTGATCATGGCAGTACATACATACATGTATCTTACCTTGCCTGAAACTGTGGCATTTTTAGATCTTCAAACTCCTCTTTTGCAAAAAGCGCTACAGAAAGGTATTAAACAAAGGAACAAACACATCAAATTAACTAATTAAAAACAAAGTTACATGTATACTGAAATCTGATGTTACTGTTAATTACTTGCACTACAGATGTTTCAAACAAACCTTAACAATTTGGTAGTACACATACTGTACAACTGTACGTGCATATGATGGTAAACAGTCTTTCCACAGACTGATATGCAGACCATACTTTCCTATGCAATAACTGTCCAAGAAGTGTTAGTACAAGTCTGCTTTTTCTCTAATTGGGTTAATCTTTAAACTTCACCTCAACTTAAAGTGGCCCATTTTGTAAAAATCCTTTAGCACGTACAATGTAGGCCTACTCTCGTACATGTACATGTAGGTACCACTCCCCCTTTGTATATTTGTTTCACCACTGGTTGCAGACAGAGAGCAGTGGTGTAACTACATGTAGGGCTATATGTCCGAGGGGCCACCAGGGGGTGCAAACATTTTTTTCTACGGGGCACTACAAGAAAATAAGCTGCAAAGCTGCATTTCAGTGGAAATTATTCAGAGGTTTTTTTTTGGGGGGGGGCACCCGGAGGGGTAGAGGTGTCTGCTGGGGGAGGGGCATGTACCTCCCTGTAGTTACGCTAACAGAGAGGCATTGGTCAAACTAGAGAGTGCATGCATTTAGGACTGTCTGGGAAAATTTTTGATGGCATGTACGTCCAATCCTTCGAATGAGACCGTACTCACAGGGGGCTTGAGACACCCAGGCCTGGCCCAAATCCAATTGAAGGCTTGTAGCAAGTTTCTCCAGGTGGTGAGGGTCCAGTCTGTACGCTTTAGATGAGTTCCCTTTAGGATTAGACACACACTTTTCTATCAAAATGGCAAATAGAGGAAAACACAGATATTGTTAGGAGGAAAACGTGTGGCAATATGCGGATCATTATTCCTAGATTTTGTAAGAAACTTCTCAATCTCATCCAAAAGAAATCTGAACAACACATCAGTGAAACCGTGATGCCAAATTTTAGTACGTCCCACACAGACACTACATTTGCACTGCGTAGACTAGGGCTGTGCCGATTATCAGAATATCTGAGTATTCAATCAATTATCGAATATTCAAATATTATTTTCCGAATCTGAATATTCAAATACAAAATTCATGAAAAGGGAATTTTTTTTCCTTTTTTTTTTTAAATAAGATAAATTGCACGATGGAGGCTTGCTTCAAGCAGATTGAAATAAAAAGTGGCAAAAAACTTACAACAAATCTAAAAGTAAATTATTCATTAAAAAAATGAAAAGGACAGACATTTACAACAGGACAAGAAGAATTCGTTCCTACATGTATATCTTGCTAAATCGTGGCTGGAAATACATATACATGTACTCCTAGATGTGAGAATTTACATTATAGTGATTATAATGTGCAATTGTGTGCGTCATTGCAACTCATTTTGTATACATGCATGTAGTTTGTTCATCAATTATCTGCCGGTTGGTACAACCCAATATTCAGACATTCAATCGAATTGAAGGTTGAATATTTGAATTGTGAACCATTCAAACTGACTCAGCCCTGCATATGACCAATCGAAAAAGGATTTTCCAGAAAGTTCAGAAGCTTGCAATTAAATCAGCATTCAATCCAAATGAATATGATTCAACTAAACTTTACTCAATCAAGATCTGGACTTTAATTCCCATCTGGTTTGGCACAGCCTAACTCTTTGAATATACCACAAGCTCTTGGAGACATAAAAAACACATTGTTCTTGGGATTTGACCTGCATGTACATGTGGGCATCCAATAAAAGCCAGCCTTGACTTCACTTTCCAAGTGGAACAAATTTTCTTTGGATTCAAAGCTAGACTTTGATTTCAACACAGCTGTACAGTGCATTGATTAGTTGAGAACTGAGTTCTGATGCTCCAACCATGTGTCTGCATTAGTGGTGTGCACTAGGGTGGTTACCAAGGTACCCATAATTATTGTGAAGATTAGAGCACAACACAGGATAGTTTTTCTAACTCGTCCATGCCCAGACATTACTACATGTACAAAGCTGCTGTGGGCAGTGAGAATTGCCAGTATTAAACAAAGGGCATCTTTTTCCAAGTGTTACAATTAATGTACATCTCCAATGTAAACGACGGAGAATTGCCAGTACACAGTCTCAAAAGATGTTTCATCCAATCTTTGTTCAATAGTTTTCTGGCAAGTACAATGTAATTTGTCTTTTGAAAATAGTAGATCAAAATTTCACCAGAATTTTATTTTAGTCAACACAATGGAATCGGGTACATGCACCTGTAATTAAGGGTCAGGTTTCTGGCACCCGGGAACTCGGCACGGCCCTAGTCTGTACTGTTCCTGAAGTTACACAAGAACAATTCCATACATACATACATGTACATGTATAGCCATTTTAACAAGAGTGCTTACCCTTCATCATACCGGAAGCAGTGTGGGGTCGGGAGTTGCTAAGACCACTCCACCTAGCTTGCAGCACCTCCATGGCACTATGCATCACAACACTTTTGGGCCCCTTCTCCAAGAACGGGAAGATATTATTCATTCCCAATTGCCACGTAGTGATCAAGTAGACAAGACAAAGGGCGGCTAGCAAGACTCCTATGAGACTCAAGCGTGGATGGCCTTTGCGGATGAGCCTTGACATCCTAAAAACAGGAAAGCATGTGATCCTTACCAATTTTTCAATGTAACTTTCCCTCAGATTTGAAGTTTAAAAGTTGGAAGACTCAATGGTTTGATCTCAGCTCAATCTTTTTCTTTCTTATTCAACCCAGTAGTTGAAACTCCCTGAAGGGGCACACATTTTTTTTTCAAGCAAGTGAACTGCCATGTCGACGTACATGTACGTACATGTACATATACCATGTATTGATTGTTGCTTTTCAAATATTTCCTGCACATGTTCTCACAGATGCAATTAAATCTTACTTTCCTAAACATACAAAGTTACAAGGTTTGCATATAATGGACTTGCTTAACAACCAAACTGAATCAAGTGATTTGCTAAAGCTTTGGCATAGTAAACCAACCATGTGTATGGCTAATTTATGTACTTGTATAAACATTAATTGGAAAGTGGTTCAATGAACATGTACCGGTATACATGTAAGAGTCCCCCAAAATGGCAGTTTCACAATAGTGCCCCACCAAGAGTTTGCAATGCATTGGCAAATCACAATGCGCCAAATGTGTCAACTAAATGCACATTTGGAAAGAGTTGACAGATGGCGCACGTTGTGGTTGGCCAATGCGTTGCAAACTCTTGGTGGCGCACTATTGTGGATTGCCCATATTCAAGGTCATACATGTACAACAAAACAGAAAAGCTGGTCCTTTTACTGCGATTAGTTCTTACTCTGCTCTGTTTGGAAACCAACACTCCATGTCTTCCTTCTGGTGTGACCTACATGTGCATACATGTACATGTCATACCTGAACCAGCAGATCTACTGATAATTGAGGCTGTGATACACTGGAAAAATTCTGCTACATTAATAAACCACTCTCATGTTGCCTAGAACTTGTACGGGTGGCCAATTATTCGCAGAAATATCATCTTTTGGTTGGTTTTCGATTTTACCTCTAACAGTCCAATTTATTCAAGTACGGTTGCAAGTATCCCAATGATTTAAAATGGTTGTATTTTCATGAAGTATTTAGTAGCACATGTATTATTGACTGGAATTCTGAAAGCTGCATGGGATATTGACACTCTGTGAATTATTCTTTTCCAACGATGGCCAACCACAGTTTTAGTGGTTTAGCAGCCACTTGCACTGTTGCAGGAAAAACATGACTGTGACATCAAATGAGCAGACCCTATCTTGACCTCCACTCCGCTCCAGCACAAAGGATATGCAGGGCTGTACACTCAATATGGTCAAAATAGACTTTATGTGCAGTACTAATATGAAACACGTAACTCATGGAGATGGTGCCCCAGACTTGTATAGATTTGGGAGAAATCACGGAGCTGAAGCAAGTGATCAGATGCATCACTGACCATGCTTACATGACAGGCAGAACACATCTACCAGTTGTGTTAATTGTAGTGTGTTCTGCCCGTAAGCAGTGTACCGTGCATGTACACATGTAATCTTTTGACACCGGATCAAAAGCTTGCAAGTTAGTCACTGAAGTGCTACTTGACCTGTATTTTTCATTTTATTTTATTCATTCATTCATTCTTTATTTACCACATAACTGTACAATACATGTATGTCATGAAAAAATTAATGTGGATGGGGGGTCCCAAGAAGCAAAGACTTGCCAAGCAGGATCCTCTAGTACATTAATTAACATTACACATTAACACATAGCACACCTAATACACATTACAGAACTAAACCCAAAACAGTAGGTTCAATAACCCTGTGAGACACGTTAAAATTAGACAAATTAGAGTCTACATAAGCAGAGAGTAATTTAGCTTTAAATTTCTTTTTGAATAAACGAATATTCTGTATACTTTTTATAGAAATTTCAAGGGAATTCCATAGTTTAGGTCCCTGGATGCCTAACTTTTTGAATAAACGAATATTCTGTATACTTTTTATAGAAACTTCAAGGGAATTCCATAGTTTAGGTCCCTGATGCCAAACTGTATTTTGAGTAGCAGTGGTACGAGCAAAAGATTGATGAAATATTCATTTCAAGGAAAGAATTTGAGACCACAGGCCACTTGATACCCTGTGTACACACTCATCATGCCCATGAGACCAGTCTGAACAATTTTGTTTTCTTTAAATAAGCTGTTGCTATAATTCAATGTGCATTAATCACAGGTTTCAAATGGGGGGATCCGCTGGGGGAGGGATATGTGCCCCCCAAGTAACCCCATAGTTACACCACCTATTTCACCAGTAGGCCTTTATGCATGTTAATTATTAACCAATCATGCCAATAGACCTTTTTCACCCACTGTGTCTGGATTGTACTAAATGTAAACAATACCACAGGCTGCCTTGGTCCCAGTGATTGCATCCTACGTGCAGCTCCAATCACGAGCAAGTGCACTGCGAACACTCATGCTTGACTGGCTTATCTTGAACAAGTAGATAACCACCTGATTACCATCACAACACATAGCAGTCTAGCACAATAGCGACATCACAGAAGAAAGGTCTATAGGGGTGGTCCCACTACTTAAAATGCTAGAGCAAGAACTTCTTGCACGAGCGAACTTCTTGAAGGCATATACATGTACTTCTTGAAGAAGTAGGCCTATACGCCTTCCTTGGCAAGTCCGCGCTCTAATTGGAGCAAAGTCCAAACAGAACTCTAATGGTCTAAACTTTCATTTAGTTTCAAATTAAACAATAAAGTGTGCAAATCGTCAAAGGCTGTTTACCTTACTCGCCTTACTGCCTGCTTCATCTCCATGGCCAAGATTATTGGCTGAGCACAGCGACGTCTTAGCCAGGATGACGACCATTCTGCCAGGGAGGTCGGAAAAGCTTACATTTTGGAGACACCACCTGCGTATTCTTTGAAGGCCTAGTACATACAAATAAATACACGACACTTTTTGATGACAACACACTTTCTGCGGTCGCGCCATGTGGCGCCCTCGGTTGGTGAAATGTAGAGAAGACCATAGACTCGATTCAAGGCTAATAAACCAAAAAAACAGAAGCTTTGAAGTCAAGTTACGATCATGACACAAAACAGTGTAACGATCATAAATGTTGACCCTGAAGTTGTGATGTTCACGGTCAAAACGCGACAAAAAGAACTGGTCTTCTCTAAATATTGACAATCTTGGATTATATTTATTTCCCAACTTCAGAAACCGTATACACTGTACACAACCAAAAATTCTGCTTCAATTGTTTTTTACGGATTATTGTGTTATCATTTTCCAATCGATAAAAGTTCGAACCAAATACATGCTTATTGTCCTAATACGCACGTTATGCATATGGGAATTTATCTAAAGCGGAATTGATTCTAGCAAAATCGTATAGAAAATCTGTATAGCTGAGCCGGCAAATAAATATCAACCAGGACACATTACACCCGCAGCCTGCAAATTGCGTGGATCGTCCAAACATGTCATTCTTGATAAAACTTAGCTAACCCATCTAAACTAATAATGTTTTCAAGTGCATATATACATTCATTGATCAAAAATGATCCATTTCGATTTCTACGGAATGGAACATTTTATTTGTTAATTGAAGTCATTCTTAGCACTGATGCACTTAATACTTATTGTTTTGGTAATAAAGTTGAGCCACAAGAACCTCATGCAATTTCGGTGCTTGCTGATTTGAAATTAGTTAGCACACAACACAACAACACACAACTTACAAGTTGAAAAAAAAACGGAAAAGGTGATGCTAACGTCGGGTTTCCCAAAAAAAATTCATTGCTGTAACATACAGCAATCATTGTCACCTCGGAGTATACATGACCATTTTTATTTAACGTGACTGTTACAACCACTTTTTATTGCTGTGATTGTTAAGCTCAAACAACTATCTACTGATATAAGAATGCCGTGCCTCGAAAACAAAAGGGTTGCGGCCGATAGGCTAATATTGACCACACTGGAAGTGACAACAACAGTCGCTATCACATTAGCTTCCCAACTGCATTAGCTTTAGGCAATATGTTTGGGCACTAAAGTTCACCATTATTTCCAGTTACAGCCAATTCATCAAAACAGTTTGGAATACGTCAGGGATAGGCTGACATCGTATAAAATATATCCAACGTGGGATTTTTCGTGATCGATAAACAAGCGCCGATGTGTAACCTTGTGTTGTACTGAAGGATCAGTTACGTCGCTATTATAATGTATACAACATACGGTTTGAATCATCGTGTGAACTGGTAATGTCTTCAGTGAAATTCTCTTAACTTGCAATCTTTTTATTCCTCTTAAAATATAAATCTGAATACATAATACAATCATTAGATTACAGTATATTTCCATTAAATGAAACAATCAATAAGTTTCAGTGTTTAAGGGTTGTCATACAAACCACAAAAGCAAAAAGGATTCGTTACTACCGGTACTTAATATAAAAGACTAAAAGGAAAAACTGTTAATGATTAAATGCAGTACACGTATCGTTGCATTTCATGTCAGGTAGAACGGCGCAAATTTATTTCTAAACATTTGAATAAATTCTTACGAATTTTCTTCATATTCTATAAAGCTTAACCTCTATCAACAGAGGTTTGAGGTGCAAAAGTTGATGTTAAAATGCACCTTGTTGCTTTGTAGAGCCGGCTACGGATACTTGTTATTAGGGCCCTGCGGTGGTACGCCTGATAAGACAACCCACCAACAATCGATGCTTCTACATGATGCCATGGTACAAAGCTTGCCGATAATACATTATAACAGCTAACTGCATTAAGTAGCAGTTTGAGCAGTATCATGGGTCGTGGGCACATGAGAACGAAAAAGAAAGGCCGGTCGAGCACGCTGCCTTGGTGGAGAGGGTTAGGGAAAGAATATGAAAGAGGCATACCTTTCGAACATGGTACAACGTCCTCTCAAATTGTTCGCATTTGATTGGAAAAGTCATTTGTTTATTAACGGTGGTGAGTTGAGTCAGGTATGTGGACGGGTAACCTCGTGTGATATTATTTACGGGAAAAAGCTCATGAGATACAAAAACAGATGCACATGAGTATGAAACACAGTGGATTATTCACTAAACGTAACCATAATGTCAATTACAAAGCACAGGAAAATTGGACATAGGGGTTCTACCCTCAGTCATTGACTGCTGTAAAAGAAAGTCAAAATATATTTTTAAATCAGCAACTACTTCTGTAGTCTGAAGGTCGGCAACAAACAAGCATTTTATTCTTAAATCAGGAATCGGCGATCAGGAATTTGTTTTCAGCAAATCTGATCTAATCTGACATGCAATCCTCCTCTCACTTTTGATTTGAATCCAGGTTGATCAGCCCACCCCGCACGCGCATCTCTTCCTCAGACGTCATGGTTACTTTCCATTTCCCCAACGGTGTGGAATCAATCTGGTGAGCTCTCTCTACGACACTTTCATATTCACGACAAATGGAAAGACCAAGGAGAAATATGTTGCTCGGAAAAGCAGTTGATGACGCAGTAAACGAAATGTTATTGACATGTTAAAAGCATTGCTTGATAATTTTATATGAAATGCCAGTGAAATCTGTTGAAAACTGTCTGATTAGTATTCCCTTCGGCTTTTTAAAACGAATTATTGTCAAATTTACACTGAACTAATGGAGTAGCAAATGCACAGTGAATGTAACACACTCATCTAGCAATTAGCTTCAAATCTTAGCTTTTATAGTTTTGAGGAAGCCCGAATAAGAGATTACCTATTTCTACCGTCTACCGAACTTGGGCTTGTTCTGGACAGGAGGTGGCGTTTTTCCGGTGATGGGGCGGATGACTGCATTCTCATACTCCGTGGAGGGGTTACTGAACTGTTTGGGTCCTGAGGCCTTGCTTGGGTCATTGGGAAGCTCATATATTTCCCCGCTGTCTGTATCAGTTACGCGACGCTCAGACTAGGTTCGTGACACAGAAGAAAAAAAATAATTAGAAATTTTAAATAAGCAAAAGCAAATTTAGAATGCATGTATGATATCAACAGTTAGTGGTGCAATATTCTTCATTTCGAAAGGTGTTACTAAACGAGTTGATGTAACTTAGTGAAATTATGTAATTTCAATTAAAATGGATGTTAATATAGCTTCGGACATTTACTGCTCTAAAAGCCAATACCCAGGAAAGAGCCCCAAAATTAATACATCAGACCGACTGCGCCTGCTATTAAAGTCACGTGATCTACAGTGGGTATCAAATATCAACAAACATAACGTCCTCTTACTGCAAAATGTGTGTTTTAAGTGGTATTACTTACTAAGACTAAAGCCCATTTTTGTTATACTACATAGCACAACAGTAGTCTATGTACTGTACTGACCGTCGGCGTTATTTTTTTGTTAATAACACTTACGACACAGTTTGCTGTGGCAGGACCACATGTTTGTTAATGCTTGATACCCATTATAGGTCACGTGAATTAGTGGGTGCAATCGGTCTATTCAACTGAGCGTTGTAAAGGGCATTCCTTTATTGTTCATCTAAACTAACTACTCTCTTTCTATTGCTGATAGCCAATGGCTAAAAAGTACACTAAAGTATAAATTAAGAAAGGCTGATCACCTTATAGGTGTGGTCGTCTGTTTCCAAGGCGGCGTTTGTGCGTCCCGTTCTTGCCGAACTGAGTTTTTCACTCCCCTACGCTCATCAAAACACAACAAAAGAAAGGCTGGTCGAAGATGAAGATATATAATTAGCATCACATATAGAAAAGTATTAGTAGACGCATCTATAGGACTCCATAGGTGACTGTGTAATTAAATGTGCTCATTGCAAATATTCTGAGTAAACTTTGCTCTCTCGTGTTTTGTCATAGACAGTCCAAATTCCTGTACATTTCTGACATAAAAGCTGTAACACAGAGTCATCCTCCCAGAACAAAGCAAACTTTGTTCTCTCAGATTTGTAAATAATTAAACTCAAGAAGCACAAAAAATGCCGTTACATGTTCTACGAAAAGTTTTAATGGGTTTATACAAGACACAAAGCAGTATTAAAAATGTGCATTTTACAAGGAGTGTTTTAAAAATGTTAACTGCATGGGCTCTTCAATGGAACTAATGCACCTCAAACAACATCCACTTACCTGCAGCCTGCGGTACTTCCAGAAGGTACAGCAGAAGATAATTGCCAGAATAAGGACAAACGTACCAAGCACCACTCCTACCACTATCGCCACCATGTTCACTTTCATATAAAAAGTACATCGAAATATCAGTACACTTTTGCTAGTCACACATAAGGCCTGATTACTGACTGGTTTTTCGGGACTGTGGCCAAGAAAATACCGTAAAAGGGGCATTTCCTGCCGATGGTCTAATGAATACATTAACGTCAAAAGTTATAGCCCTTTTGTCAATTATTCAGTGTATGTATTGGAGGGAGGGAAAACAGTGACTGAATGGTCCAAGTAAGCCTGTTTAAATTCCCAAGTACTACTGCACATTCCTGTTTCTTGTCAATTTCATCTTTAAATCTTGCTGTTTTGAAATGTATATATAGAGTATATGGAGGTTTCATTAATTCATAAATTAACTAAACTGAATGGATATGTGGAAATATCATGTCTATTTAATATCCATCTGCAGTTTTTGGAGCAAGAGTTGTACCCTCCTTGCCCCTCCCCCTACTATAAAGCCATTGGTCAAAAGGAAAGGGTGGACCTACGTGGTTCTGTTACGGCCTGGGTTACACCGGGCGTCACCATCAGCGTTTGCGGCACGCTCTCAATGCCGTCGTGAACAGAGACAACACTGAAGAAATACTCGGTCGCATATTCCAGATTGACGAAAATGCGGCTTCAGAAAAAAAATTAGAAACCAATGACTCATTTTACAATAATTACGAGTATGCAGTGTGAAATACAGGCAACTTCCCACGTCACTTGTTTCAAAATGCGCAACACTGCTTGACTATGTCTGCACCGTTCAACACAAGCGAATCATAATTTGAGCAGCAGGAGGCATCAGTTCAGATTAATGACATGGCTAATATTTTTCGATGTTGTATATGAAAGATATACCTTCTTTAAACGTGACGCTGTATTCTTGGACTCTCCATTATGCAAGAAAGCAGTCCATGCTTGTATTTAGAGTGAAAGCCATACTTATGAACTAGATCTAGCGTAGATTTGGCTTGGGTTCGTTTCTGTTGTTTAATTGACTGGGAGCTATCTCCCAGTAGAAGTATAATAGTGGGCCTATGTAAACATAAACGTATCAGCTTCTCATTTCAACATCCCCAATCTGAATTCGTACGCCGTAAAAACGCTAGGTAAAAATGTTAAAATCGTTTTGCAATTAATATATTTTACGATTTGTCGGGTAAATGATACAAGCGCGCACAAGTATCGGATAAGAAATCATCGCGATTCACTTTGAACAAAAAAAGCTTCAGCTTTACAGCGTTTAGTAGCACATTCTATTAAACGAAATAATGATCATCTGGAAAAAGCAAAGAAAGTTCCTACCTTGTGTCTAACATCGTGTTGGGGTCTTCCGCGGTTCCAGCCGGAGAGACTGTAACCATGTATGAGGTGACCTCATCCTCTGTCGGTGCGTCCCACACGAGGGTGATAGAGTCATTTGTCACCACCGTAGGGCGAATATTGCTTACGCGTCCCGGTCCTGCAATATGTGCATAAACAAGAAAGTTTGAAGTTGAACAGTGCCTTTACATGGACACCCTCTTTGCTCTGGAAATTATCCAAGCAAAACAGATCAACATAAAAAGTATAAACAAGCGGGTTCCTTTCTTTTGCTGTAAGTGCGATTGCATATCCTGTGCGGAGCTTTTTAAAGTACCAGTTATGCTTGCTGGGCACAGTTTCCAAAGTGCATGTACTGTATATAAGTTCGAGCCAAATTTAAAAGAATTCCGATATTTGTCCTAGAATTTTGCAATTTTACGATTTGTGCGGTAAAAAGTGGAGCTTTGATGGACCAGAAAAGTCTCGATTAGTTGATAATATTATGAAACGTAAACTTTAAAAGGATGCCGCAGCCAGAGCCGAGGTTTAGACAACGTCCATTGGGTCATGTATTGTATAAGGTTACACGGTACAGTTGTACGAGGAGTCAAAACAAAAACGAAACGCCTTGAAACCCTGAGCCTTAAACTTTTCTTACTTACTAGTTTTCTGGGAGGTGCCGACCGACAGACCCGAGTTACTAATAAGTCTGATCATGTAGTCGGTGTTCGGCTTCAGTCCTTTGAACTCGGCCGAGGCGATGTTTCCAGTGTCGGATACGGTCAGGTAGCTCTTCTCCGCGTCAGCTGGATTAATCAACAGCATGTACGGCTCCTCATTGCTGCTCGGAGGCGAAGTGGCCCACACAAGTGCTATGGTTGATTCGGTGTAGTTGTAAGCAACGAGCTGAGAAGCATTCAGTGGTCCTACAAAGCGAATCACGACAAGGTCGACACTTCGAATATTTGTCCGTTCAAATCTTACACCGCTTTTACTTGCGGACCATTTTCATCATTTTTACGAGCGCACAAAGCGACCCTCCCAATTTTCGGGAATTTTTTATGTATTCGTTATGGCCTTTCTGAGGGGTGACTTGAAATTTTGGGACATTTTAAATATTTTTGGGAGGAGTGGAAATAAAACAAACCAATAAATCTTCTTCATCTTATTCTTCTGAAAATTAAATGTGAGGAAGACTTGGCCCCAGTTTCCCCTTCCCTGATCCATCCCTACCCGTCTTGAGTGTGCAAAACGAAAAACAAAAAAATCATGTTTTCTGAGCTAAAGGTATTCCCTTCATTGCTTAGTTTTTTTTAAAAACGCTGTGCCCTAACGCCATCCCCCAGCTTAGTGTTTAGCACTCGAGAAAATGAATGCTTCCTTTCATTAATTTCAAAACCTAAATCCCTCAAAATGCAGACTGACTGCAGAATGTATCTTAATAGCGTAAGCAATACATTATTTTGAGGTATTTTGAATGTCCATGTTTCATAGACTTCACTCAAGTCGGATGACCAGCAGTTGGGATTATATGCAAAGAGACTTAAACTCAGGACTGCTAGAACGAAAGATATACAAGCTGCGGGTGGGATGACTGGTCGGATAACGCTCTCGCATTCCAAGGACACCCCCTTTGCCATAGCAGGACTGGGTTGTAAATGTTCTCCTGGAAATGTTTAGTGCAATAAATTTCCCAGGTCTTAGTCACAGAAAGTGTTTTCGTGCGCCAAGTGCATGCAGACTGCGTTTTGCAGCCCATATATAGCTACCGCGTGGTGGACGATTTGCTTTTTTGACAGATCGCTCACCCACACTTTCACGTTTGCCAGCCTAAGGCAAACATGGGGCAAGAAGGATGTTAGCACAAACCAGATAAGGGTAAATCACTTTTGCAGGAATAGAGTGAAAGTGCCAACCTTGTACGTGGCGTTGTAGGCTACTCTCAACCAAAACTGCTACTTGACTGTCAAATTTACCTGTAGAAACAGTTACACTTGAATCCGCTTCTTGGCGCATTTTGCCTGAGCCAACCACCGCACTGACACGTGTTAAGAGCGATTCTCCAGGACGGAGACTTTCCAGTATCACTCTGCTCATTTCCCTGGGGACGTACACCGGTTCCCTTACGCCGACAGTTACTCTGTATTGCTCCACATTCCCTGAACTTGGAGCTGTCCATGTCAGTTCAGCTGATGTAGGTGACAGGGTTGTTGATGTCAGACCGGCTGGCACGGTGGGTCCTGGTGAAAAAAAACAGAGCAAACAAAATAAACAGAACAAAACACAAACAAAATATGAATCTTCGCCACTCTGTGTTCAGCAATTAAAAGCAATCTTGCCATCACTTAATAAACATGTTTTTCTAAACACCACAAACCTTTTAATGGAAAACAAAAAAGAACTGACATATCTGTAACTTCGAAATATCCCAAACTGTGCCTTGAGGGCACCACGTTACCACTCAGCACTCTATGATACTTTATGATCACTTTATGATCTAACTTTATGAAATCATTCCCCATTACACGTTCAGTGAGATTTGAACAGCTTTGCCCATATTAATAACAATGTGAATCATTATTCCAACCCCAAAATTGCAAAGCGTATGTTTAGGAAATAAATCACGCAAAATCAATTTATTACTTATTAGTAACCAATGTTGTAGCCTAGCCAGAATCAGGAACATCAACGGAAGAACTTGTCAGTGTGGTCCCTCATACCCGCCGCTTCGTTCAAGGCATGAGCCATGGAGTGTGCATGGGAACGATTTTTGTTAACCCAGTGAAACAGTGTAACCTAGGCTTCCGTATGACGCGTGCGTACGGAATGAACGTAGCTTGTGGCAGTATACCTAGCAGGCTACAGGATAGGCCTATCTTTTCAAACTTAAACATGTAATGAACGAGATTCGCAGCTGTCAGTGCCCTTGGATGGGGTTTATGGGTCCCAGTGATTAGCACTGGTATATCTGGAGGTGGGAAGGGAACTTCTCCCTTGTGGGAACTCTGTCCCCCTCCTCCTCCCCCAGGAACCTAGCGACGTAGCCAAGGGGAGAAGCGGAAAATACCCCTGAAGGAACTCCTGTCCCCCTGCCCTTCTCCCCGAGGAGCCTGGCTTCACCACTGATGATTACAGTTTATAGGCATAGGCTGAGATCTACGAAGCAAGCGGCATCAAACAACCGAGGCAGAAACAGACCTCACACCAAGATGCCCCCTTCATCTTGAAAGCACGCATTGAACGCAAGTAGTACTGCTGTTAACCTGAAGACTTCCCTCTTGGAAAAACTGCAGGCACCACAGAGCATCACTTACTCGTCCATTGCTGAGTCGAAGAGACGACGGCACCCGACTCACTGCTGACCTCTACGTTGTACAACGTCCCGGGTTCGAGACTGGTGACAGCCTGTTCGACATAGGTATACTTCATCTGGTCAGAGGAAAGCGTAACAGGCACGCGCTGGCTGGAATCGGGCCTGGGTGTCCCCTGTGAAATAGAATTCAACTCCTTATAGTTTTGAACTCTTTGAAATATGTCACTCGTACTCTGTACTAGACCTTGTCCGAAATGAGCTTTCAGAGCTATGGGCAATGTCTTACGTCAGCATTTGTCACGTTTTTGTAACTTAAATTTAGCTCCAGGTTATCACTCGTGGCCGTCACATTCGCGATTTCGACCATGAAGTTGAAACTGTCCGCTTTGATGCACACCCTTCGATGGCGAACTGTACGATAATCCTATTTATACCATTTACACTTGCGTGCGGTACTGGAAAGTGGTTACAGAAAGTGATAACGGCCCACGATGCTGTACATTTACGGAGCGGACAACAATAATAACGTAGAAGCTGGACCACAACGTCATATCATACCCGACAAGAACGCTGACTCAGCTGGCCGGAACACGCGGGTCTGTGTGCGCTAAATCATTCTGGTTTCTAAATGCAGCGGTTTATTGAGTGACCGCGCAGTTTGTCGGCTCTGAATGAAACAACCTGAAATACTAGGGTCTTATATCTTAAACCGCGCGAATCCCGTTCCACAAGCGCTGTAAATGGCTCTTCAGACACCATGAATGTGACATCATCATGCAAATTTTGTACACTGCATCACTCTCTGTAAAATTATGCAGCCTTGCAAAATGAGGCTTACATTTGCCCAAACTAAGAGGCTGTAGTCTGCAATGGCTGCATTTTCTGACTGGGGCCAGACGACGGTGAAACGCTCACTCGTGACGGACCTGAACAAGGTATGATTCACCGGTGGTTGCACTGCGAGGAAGAAGAAAATTGACTATTTCAAGTTATCTAAATTTGAAACTTTAGAACAGACTGGCATTTTTTTGGTGTTAAGCCCACAAAAACATCACAAATATCTCAGTTTCTTCAGCTTCCTTTTTAATGAAAACACAAAGGCCAATTTCTGACCCTCGACGTTTCCCCTTGAGTGAACAAGGGTCATGGAACAGCTGCTGACACTTCACTTCATGGATTGCCCCAAAACAATCGGTGAGTATGCTGGCGTACATGTACCAAATTAGGCTAACTGCACTAACCGACAGCACGGATGTTGAAGGAGCAACTCGCCTCGTTGCCCGCGCTGTCCCTGGTAGTATACCTGACAGTCGTGATGCCCAAGTCGAATTTGGTCCCTGGCACGTGCGTGAAGGACGTGCGTAGAGGTTTGTTCGAGTTGTCGTCGGTCGCCGGTTGGTCCCAGCTGACCGGAACGGAGAACACCGGATTCATCGGATCGAAGTCGGGTATAGTCTTGCGAACGGCTTCGGGACACTTGGTTATCGTTGGATTCTGATTGTCTAGTATATAAACAAATATGACAACCCGACCTTTCCAAATAATTAATGCTCACACTTTTGCTCAAGACTAATTGTTTTCTTCACCTTAAAAGAGACACGCGATGCAATTTTCATGTCTCGAATACATGTCAAGAAGCTTTCTTGTAATGTTACTTTGACTTTCCACCCCTTTGGAGTAGTGAAGGGAGAAACTTCGACATATTGGTTTCTGTACTAATAAAATGTCCCTAGTCATGAGCCGAAGTGTGATGTCATCCAGGCCAAACAATAGTGTCTCCATAATTCTATGTAAAAAAAATCACATTTTTCCACATGATCTACTTGTACGTTCCATTCTTCTTGTTTATCCTATTAAACAACTTGTTTAGATAGAGAGAGTTTTTGGATTTTTTTCATCGTCTTTTGCATACCAGTGCCTTGTGTGACAAAAGCAAAATAGAGCCCTTTAAAATGTACCGATGAAAGGATTTTCTAAGAATGGAAAACTGCCATCGCCTTGTCACTTCCAAAGTATTTACCCCTTGGTCCTGTTTTTATTGTTCCAATGCGTAGTAATGTGTATGAAGCAATTTGAGCTGAATGTCCACTGACAGTTTCCTTTTACGCTTAAGCACGACCGTATGACCCAGGAAGGTTCATGCTGTGACCAACTTTACAATACATAGAGCTGCCTTACTGGCATCCAATATGTTTGATACTCAATGGCAACGGTTCGAGTCTGCAGACTTGCCTTTGTCGTTCAGGATCGGCACAATCACAGTTGAGCATTCTGTAAGAATATCTCATTAGTTTGCAGCCGGCAAATGAAAGTGGCACAGTTTACCTTGCGGCCAACAACAGGATGGGTACACTCCACTCGACGGCAGTAAATTTGGATCTGTTGAGTATGCGTCTCCCTAGGGGTTAGTTGGATAGTGTTGGGATTGGGCAGTTCGGATGGGTTCTGGTTACGTTTAGGTTCAGGCGGGTTTAGTGTCGGTTGGCTGAACTGCTGTGGGTTGTTTGATGGGCGTGATACGAGTACATTAACCAAAATGAAAACCAACCAGTAGGCCCCGATGGGTGCAGACCACTAATTCAAGTGAGAATTT